TATTTGCCAGACTTTTTTTCCAGACTGATTTTCTTTGTTCCTTTAGCAAAAAGGAAACAAGCAGGAAGAGCCCACAGCATCACAACATAGGAGTGCAAGTCTGAACATCCACGGAAAGAGCTTACGATGCATTAACAGAATACTCATTATATATTATTCATTATAGATTAAAACAACTGTTTCACCCCAGCCACAAAAAAAAAAAAAAAAAAAAACAATACCGTCTTTGAAAAGAAAGCTTCTAATCCAGTAAAAGAGTGAATATAATAAGTTAACTCAAGAGCAGAAGGATGAAAGGATGTCAGATAAAGTCAAAGGGCAAAAAGACAAAGATGCCCTGTGATGTTTAGCTGCAGGTATCATTGGCTACTTCTTGGTTCATGCTAATATCAATTAGTACCTACCTAGAGAAAACTTCAGAAATCAGATAAAACCAGATCCAGTAATTTATACTATGATTTACATCATTTTTGGCATGGCTTCCTGCACAACATCAAAAGAGTCAGAACCATCCTACACAACCTTTGTGCCAATCTGTTGAGATGCAATAGCCTTAAGCAACACAGCAGTTTCAAAAACTTTAAAGTGACCCAATCTATTTTGAAAGAAACCAAAAGCACTTCAGAATTTTGAGACTAAATAAAATATACCTCTATCAAAAAAAGCAAAATGAAAGTTGCCATTCTGAGGTACTTTAAGAACCAGAGATCTTGTCAACTGTTATTCCTTCTATAACTTGTTTGAAAGGTCACATGAAGACTGTGGCCAAGATAACTTAAATCATTAGAGTTCATGCACATCTGCATGTGTCTGTACATTTATGCACATCAGTTCAGCCTCAATGTCCGAGTCTCTTCTATAGGAAAGCAGAACAAGTTCCTCATTTTTCTTCCTATTATGCCCGTATTTCTCTGTAGGCAATATGAGCAAGCTCTGCCATGTGCTAAAATGACTAGAAGCTACAGGGTACCATTAGCAGCAGACTCAAGCTAGAAAACACGTCTGAACCACACAGTGCAGCAGCTTCAGCTCCATGCTGTGTCAACTGTCCCACAGCTTTCAGCTGTTTGAAAAGGAGCAGAGGAAGACCCTGTTAGAATGTTGCATCAGTCAAGCACTAAATTTATACTTAAAAAACAAAACCAGGTATCTTTGTCAAATACATCACCCATAATAATTATTTTCAAAGAAACCTATAATTTTCAAGTACATACCTTTTTTTTTTTTTATAATTACCAAACTGTTGCCAGAAGTCTATTTTTAATTGTGTGCACAAAGTTATTCCCCTTAATAAACTGGAGTTAAAAAAAAAACAAAAAAACACTCTTTACAAATATTAGTTTAAACTGAAACTTTTACTCATTAGTATTTCTATAAACATTGCATTGGAGCAACAAAGACATCTGGAACAATCTTTCCTTGGCATAAAAAGCCAGATTAAGGGCCTTGAACTATTCTCTATCCTCCTGTAAAAGGGGATGTAGACTACAAGAGAATATCTCCACTATGAAGTTATATCAGTGTTACACATGGTTCCAATGATTTCCACTATGCAGAATACGTGTATGCATAAAGCCCTCAAATGCACTAAAAAGCTTCCAGCAGCAGCAGCAGCACATCTAACTGGCAGTTGTTTTGAGAAGTCTCCTAGAAAGCTCAGCCAATCCTGCCGACAGGATTATTCTAAAATAGTTATTGAGATGTAGTTAGGATTAAAGTCAAAATAAGTCTATTTTCAGGCATATCAAAGGCATATTGTTTCTGATTAAGTAAGAAAATGCCTACATTTATTATTCAGATAATTCCATTTGCCTATGGTTGTACAACGATCCAATACAACTTTGCAATTCACCTAAGCAACATATTTAAGTTTCAGTTATCACTGACAGTCACCACCTAACGAAAGGAAGTCTGGAAAATCGTAACAAAAAACCCTGATGTACTAATACTACAACAGTTTACGGGGCAGAGCTCTGGAGTCGGTCTGCTGCCCTGCCGGCAGGGACCACTGCCTGCGTGGGGGGCAGCTGGGAGTGAGTCCACGCGAGACCCCGCCTGCAGGGGGGCAGAACTCGAGTGGAAAAAAAAGCAACCCGCGTGGAAAAAAAAAAAAAACAACTCGCCTTGAAGAAGAGATGGATTCTAGCATTAAAGTCAATTTCAACTGAAATTAGAGGGGTTTCAACCGAAGCACATAGCTGGCAGCATCTACAGAACACGAACAGCGACACCTAGAGCCGAAAAACCAAGGGAAATTAAGTTTTATATGTAGGAAGTTCAAGACCAAATACTTCCTAGTAGTCACCAATCTTTGACAACATGAAGAAGTCCTCTTTAAAAGCAAATTGAAAACATCTAAAAATCAAAAACCTATTCCTACATGAGACTTCCTGAATTACCACCAAATTCACTGTGTGAAATGCTAGCCTCAGGGAATTTCAAGTTAATATAACCACTTCTCAGCACCATCACCACTTCAATCCAAAATATACCAAAGTCAGCCTTCCTCCATTAATTCAGGGAAAAAAAAAAAAAAAAAAAAAAAGAAAAAAAAAGCTGACATTCAACCTTAAGTGGAAGAGGATTTGTTTCTTCTGTTTAAGAAAAAGAACTTTTGGAAACATGGCCCAACTGACATATTTCTCTTCATCTGGTAAGAACCTTTCCTACTTAACCAGAGGACAAGACAGGAACTTGACTGCAAGGCCAATGTTTAAATGCAGAGCTTTCAGTAGGTTTTTGCGCAGAGAAACAACATAGTGTTACTGCTTCTGGGAGATCCTTGCCTTCCTTGTGCTCTATGTAAGCCTTTTACTTTAACACATTAGCTTAAAATTAATGTAATCTATAAAACCACCTGTGCAACTTCTTCCAGTAAACACATTTTATAGAAAATTGCACACATTTTTACCAAGAAAGTTGACCGCATATAAAGCAGTATCAAAATAGCAAAGCTGAACTTGAAATATTCAGCACAAGGTTCCCAGTATCCACAAGTGTCACGCGCTCCCCATCAGTTACCTAGCCAACTGATTTTCAAAACACATTCCTGACACACCCTCACTTCACTAGAGAGCTCAAAATACAAAAAGAGTCATACCTCCACACAGTCGTACCTCCAACTTACCTGCTTTAGATCTTTTTCCTTCTCAACTCTATACTAGTTCTAATCACTTGATTTTCTATTGCATCTACTAAGAGAAATCAGAGCCTTTCCAAGTGTCCGCTCATACACAGTTCCTCCCTTTACATGTGGAAGTCCAGCAATTTATCACTAAAAATATGTTCATTACATTTTATCTTCCATGAATCCAAGCCCACACAGGTAACAACTGAAATTAACTGGTGTCTCCCAAGCATTTTACTCTAGGAAACTCAGTAGTCCATATCTCAATGTGTAACTTAATTGTACTTCAATTTCAATTCAGCATTGCAACATTTATTCCCATGTCACAGGTATCTTCCTCATTTCCATCTTAAAATGAAGAAACTATTCAGAACAACTTTTTATTTGCTCTGGATATCACAAACAACGTCAAAAGCTTCAATATCACTGCCAATTTACTGTCACAATCTATCTTGCTGACCCTACTTTTAATTGTTTAACAAGAAAATGGAAGCTTTCCTCTCCCTTTGTAACAGCTCTTTTGCCATCTCTTCCTTGAGAACAAGCCTAGTCTCATCAGTCTAATTTTGCAGCTCTGCTACAAGATATCATATTACAGATACCAATTTCCTGGTGTAGTGGTAAGTAAGGTTTCCTTTAATGCCATCGACACAAATACCAGTAAGGGGAAAACAAGGGAAGAACATGGCATGCTGCAGCAATCCTAGTTTAACACAAATGAACACATATGGGGGAGGGTTAAGCTGTGCTCTCATTTAAAGCTGCTCAGAGTAAATCAACTGACTTGAGAAATTTTTTAAAGAAAACAATACTCCAACACACGTCCATCTTCAGTGTTTGCTACAGATTGCACTGAGATACTAAATTTACAAATATGGAGATATTAAATACTATATATGAAGTTAATGGTAGAATTCCAGAGAATAAGCATTGACTTCAGAAACAACTGCTGCTTCTCTGGCTTTAAGTGTTTTGCAGCCCAAGATAACCAATCTGACGTTAAGCTCAAAACCAAAGAAAATTACTACAAATACTTCCGTCACATACAATGTTTCTTTACAAGAAGGTCTAACACTTTTCCCTGCAAAAAAGTCAACTTCATTTTATTTGAGTTTTGAACAATTCCTGTACTACAAAATATGCACTAATAATTGGCCATCCATAATGAAGCTTGCAAAGGAAGGCTTTACCATCCCTCATCCCTTTTTCAGTACAACAAATCACTGAGATTTTTAAAAACTCCAATCTCCCTACACACACTTGCAAAAAAGAGATATTTGGATTGGTCTTTGTTTTTACAGGCAGTACTTCTCCAAAGTAACAGCTTAAAGCTCTTGGAAATTAATTAATAAAGAAAACCATATACATTTTGTAATTTTAATAAATTACAAAATTTATTTCTAGGTAATACAGATTGTAAGCCCTTGCTACAATGAGTATGTATCTATTGTTTTTAAAAATTGGGAGAAAAATCAAAACCATTTTCTTAAACTGATATAAGTAAAAGCTAAGTAAACATTTCAAGACATTCTGCAGTGTTCCTTTGCAGAGATGATTCAAAGTTAAATAGCAGATCTGTGCTCGTATAGGAATAAAGGCTTTTTCTTTGTTTTAAAAGTATTTTGGGGATAATACACTTATGCGCTGTGTGACATTAGAAATTAAAACTGACTGAAGCCTCACACTATTTTTAAACTGGAAGACTTACCGCTTAAAGGATGCGTCTCCTCAATTTCACAAAGAAAAAACCTCAAATAAAACCAAAGTTATTGAAAGCACTGAAGTTACCGATATAAGAACCTACCTGTCATTTGGGATTTCAGATGCTTCTGCAAGTGACAGTGATAAGACTAAGAGAAACAAAGATACTTACATTGCATTTACTTTATCTTCTGGGCCTTGAACTTGGCCTGTTACTGTTCCTTGACTGGTATTTTTAACCCAGCCAACAACTCCTAGCTTCCTAGCTTCCTCTTCTGTGTACTGATTTGAAAAATAATGAGACAATAATCAGTGCCAGCACATACACTACATGCATACCATGCAAACCCCACTTCCATTTTCATAGCCTTAAGAGAAACGAGAATCCATGGATTATGCTCACACTCAGACATTAAAACACTCCTGTCAGCTCTGCAGCAGAAGCAACCAGCTTTTGAGCAAGAATTAGATTTTACATATACATAAATACATGAGTTAATTCCCATGTTGGTTTACATGAACACTTTTCTTAAAAAACAAACAAACAAAAAAAAAACAACTATATATATGATGGCGTCTTACCCCACTCATAATAAAGCCATCCTGCTGCTTTCTGTATCAGTTGAATATGCACAGAAATCTTCCAATACTGTGAGTTTTTTCATTCAGAGCTCAGCCAAAAACTTGCTCTCCTTGTTTAAGGAATTTTTAAACACTTTTAATCAAAGAACTCTACTGATCCATCGCTACCACCTTTTACTTAGTTTTCTCTAGCTCCTGTCACTGCTCATTTGCCTCTTCAACAGTTGGTGTCTAAGCTCTTTAAGCTTGTTGAATGCACAAACAGAAGTGTTTTTCCTCATGTTTCATTCTAAAACCTTTCCACCTGACTTTTACCCCTTAAATACTAAGGATCTTCTGCTGCATTACTAGCAAAGCAAATTATAGCAGCAAATGTAAGGAACTTCCAAGTCCCGTTTTCTGAATCTTCTTATTTTTTTTATGTACACACAAAATGTATCTGCATACTTTTCATTTGTGCCTGAACCCTGACATGGCATGGAACAAAGTATTTTACAGGAAACCACTAAAGTTTTATTCTCTGCAGGGAATAACAATAGCTAACACTAATATTAAACAGCTAATATTTTCATTCACCTCAAATTTATTGAGATTAAAAGGTGCTTCCTCCATTTTCCTTCATGTATGTTCAGTGATGAGATGTAGCCCATGTTCTCTTTAGACATTTGTTTTAAATGCCAACAGTCAAACTTCAGCTCAATAATAATTATACTTCAAAAGAGAAAACTGATCTGGGGGTAATCTAGGCAATGAAAAGGTGTTGCTACCTATGAAGAGTACTTTTCAAGTTGATTATGAGCACTTTTTCCCCTAAGAAGTTACCCAAAAGCATCAGAATGCAGCCTATCAATATGATCTGCAAACGCACATTTTCCACTTGATAAAGAGACATTAAAAACATACTATGCTGTAAACCTCCATCCTTCTCTATTTTGAGCTATTTCACACTACATAAATTATGCATAAAAACTTTTAGGTCTTAAACACAGCTCACTAGGTTCACACAACACTTTTGAAACATGTTTCTTGATTTCTGTCAAGCAGAAGAATTACCTGCTACAAATTCAGAGCTGGTGGAGAACTCTGGCGGGGTCACAAGCCCCACCAACTGTATCGCAGGAAACACAAGCTTCCTTAAGCACTGGCACTGTCATTGCCAGTAGGAACATAAACTGGAATGCATTGGCTTCAGAAGCTAACATCCAGAATTTACCTCTCTAAACATGAGTATGTTCTAATGCTCACCTTTGTATCACAATCCAAATACAATCTTTATAAAGCATACTAACATAAACACATTAATAAGCTTTTAAAAATATTTTACTATAAGAGATGAACAAAATTTTTTTCCTCTTAAATTTGCTTGCAATACTTAACAGCCTACCCTAGAACTCCATCCGTCGGTTGATTATGTTTATAGTCTGCAAAGCTGCTGCTGCTGCTGTATTTTTAGCCCTGGAAATACTATACTTTGAAGTAGGCTTTGAAGGAGAACTGGTAAATCAGATGTTGCCTTACCATCCTGAAACAAACACCTAGAGAAGAAAGAAAAAGAGTAAGGTCAAAAAAGAGTAAGGTTATCTTATAAAAGACTATTAAAAAAAAAAAATCACTTCACAAATTTATTGTAAACTGTATACATGTCATCTGTGGTCTATCCGCAAGGAAACCGCAGAGCTCTGTGGCACTGTAACTCCGGGCCAACTGCACAAGACGGCCGGGAGATGACCTCGACCAAGCGGTTATTTCCGCTAAAGCGGCGAGGGGAACTCCGCAATTAAGACGGGAACAGCCTTAGACCCTGTAATATTCACTTCAGTTTCGCTGCCAACCCAAGGGGGTTGGCGTATGTGTTTGACAGCAGAGCAGAGCCCTCGCCCCCTCCCGCTGGCAGCCGCCTCCCCTCATGGCGCCGCCATCGCCTCAGCCGCGCCCGGCCCCGCGCATGCGCACGGCGCCGCCGCCCCGCGCCCCTCACCTTGCACCCGCCCGAACACTTCGTAATCCACCGACTTGAGCGCGCCCGACGCCTTCCCCAGGGTAGACATGGCGGCCGCCGAGCTCTGCGGGCCGCCCGGACGGCAGCGCGCGAGGCTCAAGCTGCCCCGGAAAGCGCCCGCCCCGCGCCTGGCGGGAGGGAGCCGCGGGCGCCTGAGGGGGGGGGGGGGGGCGCGGCCCCGTCACCGCCGGGGGTCACCGCGACTCCCAGCCCATAAAACATGAGAAGCTTTTCCTTCCCAATTTTACCCCATGTGGGGCAAACGCCAGGGCCAGGGGGAGGCTGGACTCCAGCTGGGGGCACCAGGGCTTGGAGATGGAAAATTTACCTCAGGTAAGATTGTTCAAACCTACCTCAGGTAAGGTGTTCAAACCTACACAATGATGTATGTTAGCGCTCACATTTACCTTTACAAACCTTTCCAAAACATTTTTAATGTAGGTGCAACGTGCAAAGGTATAAACCAGGAGCTGATCGTTGAGTAGGTACAGTCTCCAAGCAGACGCCATGGATTTTTCTGGCATGTCACATGGTTTTGTACTCTTTGTTTGCTTTTTCTTGAAAGAAAAAGTCTCCTCAGGCTAAACATTGCATTAGAAACAACATTTAATTATCCTTGGTTAGAAGATAAACTCAGTCTAGAATCTTTAGTCATCTGCTGCCATCTATCAACACTAAAGAGCAAGACAGGTCCAAAATAAAATATTAGCCTATTTACAACATAAAACATTGCAACTTAGGCCTTTAAACTATAGCTTATGCAGGTCCTGATTACTGGAATCTGCAGAGAGCAAACTGTAATGGCAACTTTGGTTTTTAATCAAGGGACTGACTCTTAGCTTTCAAGTAAGGTTTCTTGATAAGAGTCAGGTAGGTTTCCTCTCACCAGTGCTGGCTCATCCTCAGTACAGAAATCCATTCCTGTCATAGTCCTGGAGAACTTCTGGCCCAGAGATATATCTGCTGCCCTCTAATTTTCTTTGCCAGTTGATTTTTTCATCAGTTAAAGCCAGTTTAGTATTTTTCTGATTTGCCATAAGAATATCTTGCCATTCTTTCACTAAATGGTACCAACCCTCTTATTGTTTCATAACAGACATCTGAAAAACTCCAAAGATAGCATGAAACCCTTTACGTTTTTACAGTCCAAAAAGTCAATATCAGTAATCAAACAGTATTCAAATACACTAATTAGTAAGAGAGCTTTAGCATACACTATCTTAAAGTATAGACAGTCTGTGTGAAGTCAATGAAGTTTTGTATTTTCGCCATCCCTCTACCAGCTGTAGTGATGTTGGCTTAAGAATCAGCTGAGTGCACTTCCTACAGCTACTAGCAAGAAATGCTAAATATCTACATACGTTATAGCACAAGATACATTCCTTAGTTACACCGCAGAGAAATGCAAATGATTATGAACTTCTTCCAATGAACAAACTTTTGTACTGCTAGGATGATCAGAAAATACAGTGTCATAACATCTGTAGATCACTCTAGCAATGAAATAGACTCTTCTAAACTTCTGCCAGCTTATCTATTACCATGTGTTGTATTTGGCTTGCTACTCAGTAAATAAAGGTGACCTTTTTATTACTAAAACAAAGCTGCAACAATCACAATTAATACATGAAAGAGAAATTCAAGGCAGCAGTGAATTCCATGGATGACCATTATGCTGCCAATTTACCCAAGCCTTTTGTTTGCTCACAGCAGCTGCTATTATACAGTTTGTCTTTTATTTCTCCATACTAATTTCACAGTAAGCTTTCTTTTCTGATCATTACACATTCTTGCTAATTTAAATTCACATCAGCCAGCTTTTATCTCTTTCAGAAGACATTGTTTTATATTCATTGGTCTTTTTGCTTCACATATATAGATTGAATTTCACTTGCAACATAGTGTTCTCTAGGAACAATTATTCATGGACCTTAGGCTTGTATAGAAGGGATTTATTGTGAAAGCCATCTAGGAAGTTGCTTTACTTGGCAGAAGTTTTGCATTAGGTAAAATGCTGTTGTAGAGAAGACTAATTTCATCATTCAGTCACATACATACCTTTACTCTGAACAAGAATTTCGAAGAACACCTCTAAATACTAGCTCTAAACACAGTATAGATGTCCCACTATCCTGTTCTTGGCCATAGCATACAGGAAAGAATGAGGAATTGTTCCAGAAAGTACTGGAAGGGTACAACAAAGAGCCCTAAAGCTAGAACTAGAGACTCACACACCCATGAAGTAGGAAGGATTCAGCCCTGAGCTTAAATAGGGCTTCAGGGCCAAGGGGCAGAAGGGATATCATTGGCTCAGGTGAACCTGGTCAGGACAATCAGAGCTATGGGCCCTCTGGGTCCTGATACTGAGCACTGTCAATTGCAGTGCTTATAATAAAATGATCTTTTACTTTAATAAGTTTCACTTGAGTTGATAAAGATACTTTGGAAGTTGTGGCTTCGTTATTTATGCTTATACTGCGTAGAAAAACATTAAAAACTTATTTTTCTTTAAGTACCCATTTCTTCTGCTTTCTGTCTGTGTGGCTGTCACTTCATTCCACCATATACATTCAATGTTTTCCACTCCCAAAATTACTATCTTCCATGTTAATACATATGTTCTATCAGGTACATGACCTCCAATGTTGCTGTCTTAATTTATTCCTTAACCTCTAGCTATGCTCCTGTTTTATCACCATTTCTTTATTTATTATGGTTCCTTCTCAGACCTGTCAATACATGTCTAAATTTCTGCTCTCAGCCTTCCCAGAGCATCTTCACAATCTACAATTAACATTCCTGACTTCAGAGTTCTCCCCTCTCTCTACCGTCAACTTATTAGCTGCTGAAGTATTTATCTATTGGTTTGTTTGTTTCTTTGTTTTTTTATCTTTTATGGTACCCTTTTTCATCAGTGTTTAGATAAACGTAAGGTCCAAACCTGACTCACTTACAAATGATCCTCAGCAGATTCTGATGAGTGGTTTCCCAAAGAATAGCAAAGGCTCTGTATAAAAGAAGCTGCTGCGTCTATTCCATCTTGTGGCTTAGAGAGTAGTAAGTACTCAGAGAAAAAGAGTATAAACCATGTAAGTTCAATTATTTATCTTTTATAATTTTTGCTTGTTCTCTATTAAGCATAGTATATACAGCTCATATTTTAAAACACTGTCCTTTGTATTTATTTTTTCAAATAAAGGCTAAATTTTTCTTTTCAATCGTTTTCTTTTTTTTTTTCGGTTATTCTTTATCATGTCATCTCCAAAACTATATTCACTCTTACAACCTATTTTAAAATAAACTTTAAATTTATTAAAATTGCAGTTTAATTTAAAATAAAACTAATAGGACTTCTGACTTTGCAGACTCTGCTTCAAGTTGTACAAAACTCTTTGGAGTCTTTATTTAATGTTTCAGATGGATGTATTGAAGTCTCCCAAGGTGTAATGTAGGACACTTAAGAAGTAAGAGATATTCTTAATTCTACTTTCCTTTTTCTGTAGATCACTGACTATCAGCTGTCGTCCTTAGGGAAAAAGACAGTCTCTTAAACACTAGGATTAGATTTCAAAGCCTGAAGGACAAGATAAGCCTGTAGGAGTTCTTTAGGAGTTTTTGTCTGTACTGTGTAGGATGTATAAATAACACTATGCTGGGCTACTAAAGAAAAATTTTTAAAAGTAGCTCAAGACAGGGAAGTGTTCCTAGCTCATAAATGTTTTGATAATACCATTACTACTAGTTTCTAGTCAGCCTTTTTACAGGAAACTAAAAATGAAGTATAATGCATGTAAAAATATGAAGTGGCTTAGGCTTTTTGTACCTGTTTTGTTGTCATTTTCAAGAATGCAGTTCCTAGCATAGTAGCACTTTCACTGAGAAGAAAAACTACACTTGTGCAAGGCTTAAGCTCTCAGCATGAGCTGATGATGTTTCCTGAAGTATTTCTGCATTCAAATAAATACTCCCAACTACAACTTTTTCTATATGCTGTCTTCCTTTAGCTATGGAGAGTGGAAAAGTAGGAAGAGCATAGAAGAAGGACTTCTGTCAAGAGAAAGCATCCAGATGGGAAATTAACATGCCTAAAGAACAAAAGAGTGCTAGGCAAAAATGTATAGCACTCTTTTTGAAATAAAACCATATAATAGAAAACGGCTTACCAAAAGCAAACAAAAAGCTACCTTGTGCTTTTAAATGGTAAAACTCAAAATTTGGGTGTACAAATCTTAGAAAATTTTTGAGGCTGACTGCAGAATACCCCTAGCACAGTTAGGTGCCCTGGTTACAGCACTTGTCTCCTGATCCATTAGAAATGTAAAGACCCAAAGCAGCAATCAGATCTGGGTGAGGGGACCCCACACCTGTGCAGAGGCCCCCTTAGGCAAGTAGAGTACTGTACAGAGGAAGGGTCATGTCTGCACAGATCAAGTTACAGGACTGCAGCCAAACTTTGTCCTAAATTTGGGACCCAATGGAACATAAATTTGTCCCCCTTGTGCTCTAAAATCATGGACTACTTACATAAGCTACAGGATGATAGATACAGAACCGTGCACTCATTATTTTATTTAGTGTGGCTAGACTACTTAGGGCAATTTTTTTGTTACTGTGTTTGTTCCAAATAGTTGCTGTGAGATCCTATGTATAGTGCAGTGTCACACAACAAGTTGTATGGAAGGCTTTTTGCTTTGTTAGTTGCCTTTTATTCACTACATCCTACTACTAGTAGCCTTTTATTCACTACATCCTGATTCTGTCTAGGACATGAAGACTTATCAGCAGTTTTCTTTTAAACATTTTTTTTTTAAGTTATAGCAACAGTTCCCAAAGTAATTTTTCGTGATTCCACTCACAGCTTGTTCACTCGTTGACATCATATATACATGTAAATATTTAATAAAACTAAATTTCTGTTTAGTTTTCAATATTTTTTCATTGTTGTGTCACCATGTCTTTGAAAAAATACTTTGAAAAGTATTTTTGCTGCTATAGGAAAGGAAAGAATCTTCAGGTAAGTCAGTTCAAGTTAATAGTAATAAAAATCCTGATCTGAAAAGCTAGTAGGGAACTTAAATGCTCAGTAGAAACAAATGCTTAGTATGAGGATATTAGCTGTCAAGACTTTTTAAATCACGAGGTGTTAGTAAATAAAACATGAGAACATAAACTGGTATTTCCTGTAACAAAAAATCTTT